ATTTTGTCGAATTTAAAACTAAAACCCTGTAATAAAGCATGGGTATAGCGCGCAGTCTTTGCTCCAGACCCGGTTATTTCAAAAAAATTAAAAAATCTTCAAAACTAAGACCCCACCATCTTCCAAACTAAGACCCGGTAATAAAGCATGGGTTTAGAGCGTAGTTTTTCTTCCAGACCCGGTTATTTCAAAACTTTTTAAAAATCTTCAAAACTAAGACCCCATCATCTTATTCCTATGGAAGAACATAAGTATTGAGCGTAGTCTTTCTTCCAGACCCGGTTTTTCAAAAGTTAAAAAACAAACAAAAAACAAAACAAAACAAAACAAAACAACAAAATAACCTTTTAAACTAAGACCCCTCTATCTTCCAAATTAAGACTCGGTAATAAAGCATGGGATTAGAACGCAGTCTTTACTTCAGACTCGGTTATTTAAAAAAAAAAATCTTCAAACTAAGACCTCACCATTTCATTCCTGTGGAATAACATGGGTATAGAGCGTAGTCTTTCCTCCAGACCCGGTTATTTCAAAGGAAATAGAAATTTAAACAAATCTTCGAAACTAAGCCCATCATCTTATTCCTCTTTTTTTTTCATTTAAAAAATAAATTACATTATTACATATGTGGATACAACACGTCACAAATAAATGATTGGTCGGCGGTCACACGAACTGACGAATCAGTCAAAATGGTCCATATATATAACACACAGAGGAGGGACCGATTCGATGGTTCGTTGACCGTCGACGATTTCTTAATCATGTAAATATTCTATTGTAAACAAACAAAAGGGTATCAACTGGGTTAAAGAGCTTCCCTCTTATACAAAACTCCTAAACGAGGACCCGAAAAAGGTCCTTGGATGGAAATCTCCTTTCGAGATTTTCTTTGGTAGGAAACCAGAACAAAATTATATCTCCCGTCAAAAAACAAACTATACTATCCATGGTTGGGAAAAGAATGTACAAGCTGTTCGAAGAAAGGCTTACAAGGCTTTGCAGCGTGTACAAAAAAGAACGATTAGATCCCAGGAAAAAAAACTTAATGTACCAAACATACCAGATCAGGTAAAGGTTGTTAATATTCTTTATCTCATTGTATAATTAAAATAATTATTTCCTTTTGATCAGTCATACTTCATTTCAACTCCGTCTACTTTTAAAGCATCTGAAAAGTATTACTGAAAAACTTTTGGAGTTGTACGTGTTAAGTAGTTTTATATGGACGAATACTAAGTTACAGAAAGCCAGGTACATTTAGTATTTCGGCATCTTGTTCTCTTATTTTTCCTAGCTTAGAAGAATTGTCACGTGTTAGGTTATTTGCGTTTTATATCAAGTTCAGTTGATGTTATTAGGTTCAATATTGCCCAAATTATAACCTCGTTTGCTTGTAAAAGACATGTGAGTTACTCCACCTTTTATACGTAATAATTATTTTGGTTCTGTTACCGTCTGTATATTAATGAAACAACCTCTTCATTCGTTTGGAATAAAATACTTTCTATCTTACAAAATCTATGTATCCATCATTGCATTTAATACTATAAAACCATAACCTCTGCAATTTACTCACATTGATTGAGAGAGTATATAGATATTTTATCAGTCAAAGGGTTCTGCAATCGTTCATCCAAAACATGCAAATATGTTTCGCGCGATCTCGTTATACAGCTATTTATGATTTGTTATATGAAAGTATGCGTTGTTATTTGCTTGTTAACCGATTATCATCCCCCCCCCCAAAAAAAAACAGGGTCATAGTACATAATAAATATAAGGTATAATGTGTAAATCATCAGGGATAATTATGTTATAATAATTAATCTCAAGGAAGATATGCTGCCGGCGAAGAAGCAAATGGAGAAATAGAAAACATTATAAAAAAAAGCTGAAGATGGAAAACGACATTGCCAGATAGACAGAGAGACAGACAGGGAGAGGGAAAGAGAGAGAGAAAGAGAAAGGGGGGGGGGGAGGGGGCGGGAGAGATAGAAAGTTGGACGTAGTCCGTACTGTATTTATTTATATGATTTTTGTCTCTCCGATCAACGGTCAACGAACCATCGAATCGGTCCCTCCTCTGTGTGTTATATATATGGACCATTTTGACTGATTCGTCAGTTCGTGTGACCGCCGACCAATCATTTATTTGTGACGTGTTGTATCCACATATGTAATAATGTAATTTATTTTTAAATGAAAAAAAAGAGGAATAAGATGGTGGGTCTTAGTTTCGAAGATTTGTTTAAATTTCTATTTCCTTTGAAATAATCGGGTCTGGAAGAAAGACTACGCTCTATACCCATGTTATTCTACAGGAATGAGATGGTGAGGTCTTAGTTTGAAGATTTTTTTTTTTTAAATAACCGAGTCTGAAGTAAAGACTACGTTCTAATCCCATGCTTTATTACCAGGTCTTAATTTGGAAGATAGAGGGGTCTTAGTTTAAAAGGTTTTTTTGTTGTTTTGTTTTGTTTTGTTTTTTGTTTGTTTTTTAACTTTTGAAAAACCGGGTCTGGAGGAAAGACTACGCTCAATACTTATATATGTTCTTCCACAGGAATAAGATGATGGGGTCTTAGTTTTGAAGATTTTTTTTTTTTTTTTAAATAACCGGGTCTGGAGCAAAGACTGCGCGCTATACCCAGCTTTATCACAGTGTTTTAGTTTTAAATTCGACAAAATATCCCTTCAAATTTATTACATTTGTAGGTAAAGTCATTATTACATTTGTGGGTGTCACATGGTACACTCAAAATAAAGAAGCCTAAACACATGCCATTTACGATACTCGTAATTATAATGAAGCTTTATTATAAAGCAAAGAATAGTACCATTCTCCGACAAAAAGAGAATGGTACGAACGAAAATATATATCCTCTTACAATCTCTTTCCAAAAACACTTGGTCCCATCAAAATAAAATCAACCTTGTCAAACAAATATATGATCAACACCTTTGTAACATGTATCAAATCTTTCTATAATTTGTAATACATGAATTATACACCACTAATGTTTATATATAAACAGACCTGAATTGTCTAAATATAAATAACACATCTGTAGCTTAAACAATTAACTCATACACATCTCGTTCTTGAGATATTTTACCTTAACATCAATAAACAGACCAGTATATTGTCGTTTATTTAGTTATCAACTTTAACAAATTATACCTTCACAAATATCATGATCCCTTCTCAAAATAATCAACAACTGACTTCTCGTCACGTGAACGGTTAACTCCAGACCTGTATTGTCCGCTAACTTCACCCTTGATTACATCTTTCAAAATAGTCTTTATACAATGCACGTATCAACAATACACACTCAAACACGAAATAGTCCAATTGGCTCTGCTAAGCCTATGACATCTTTTTAGATGTGACTTTCAAGTTCAACGAACTATTTATCTCAAGTTCCATAATAGTCTCGTCAACATAATCGGCACCATTATCGCTCACCATAATGTTCATATTGCGTTCTCTACTGAAGACGCCATGTTCTTGGATCTGTCGGTCACGTGTCCGAATGTCCCGTCTCGCATCAACTCTCGTAGTCGTAGAAATCTCAGCTTGTCTCCCAAGCCCCTGTGCCATCGATGGAAAGTATCGGTTCTACTTAAAGCTGCAAATTCTCATGTAGCAAAACTTATAAAGCCAGAAGCCACATCTTTCTCAACTTGTCTTCTATAATGTGTGTACAAGCAGTTAACTATAATGCTTTGAAGCAAGCTGCTACGTACATCAAGACCTCCGTACACCAAGCCAACTTCTTTGGGTGTGGCCCTAGCCAGTATCACTCCAGTACATTATATACAGTCAACTACAAAAAAAAACACTTCCCGTCTATAACAGGTGTAATGCCATTCCACTTTCCTTTCAATGGTAGTCTCAACCTTTTCAGATAGTAACCCGTGACAACACATTCAATGCTTCACGGAACACTGTATAATTTCTACACTAATTACATCCACCGATGGCACATTCACACTCGCTCGCTCTTCCTCTCTCTCTCTCTCCCTCTCTCTCTCTCTCTCTCTCTCTCCCTCTCTCTCCCTCTCCCTCTCTCTCTCTCCACCCCTCTCTGTCACAAGTACACGCTATAATTCGCTTTATTTAGTTCCTAGTTTAATGAAAGAAAAAAGGATATTTTGATAAAATCGTTGATTGCGTTTTCCAACGTGACAAATAACTCCCCTTTCAAGAAAACGCATCCGTTTTTACCAAACTAATTCTTTTTCTTTTAACTTGCTTTAATTAATCTACCACATCTACTATACGAAAAGTTAGAATCTCTCTTCTTCTTTTTTTTTTTTTCTTAACACATCACATACTCAACAACAAACAAAAACACACACAATATAAATACACCTTCTCTACTCAACATATTTCGGAGTCTCTCATAATTAATACTCTGCTGGAGATCGGCTTAGAAAGTCAGCACCTACATTTTCAGCGCCCTTTATTGTTTCAATGCGGAAACGATACGGTTGCAATGCTAACGCCCAACGCATAATTCTACCATTAGCCACTTTTGCGCTTTGCATATAAGCTAGTGGATGATGATCCGTTTCAAGGATGAATTCTCTGCCATACAGGTAGGGCTCGATTTTCTTGATGGCTCATACTATTGCTATACATTCGCTCAAAAGGTATAGGCACTTTCGTTACTCTACCCTTTGAAATAGTTCTTTGACACACCTCACATGATCTACAATATCGAGTCACATCTGAAGTGACACCAGGCCAAAAGAAGTTAGTAAGTACCTTTTGTAAGGTCTTCTTAGCACCTTGATGTCCACCTAGTATGGACTCATGTGCAATTTGCATGACTCGTCTATGATATGGTTTAGGTACCACAATTTGAGTAAATAGGTGATTAGCCTCAACCTTTGGTGATTGAAATCTGCGGTACAATATGTCATCTTGATAATAGAAAGAAGATTTGCCATCGTTGCGACTTATCTTCTCCTCTCGACTTTCGGCTAGTTCTCTTGCACGGCCAAGAGTTTCGTCTTCCTGTTGTGCTCTCCTTAATGTCTCTGGGTTGACGAGGTTCTCCAAGGGCTTGGGGGTCCTTAATGGGCGATATGGCTTCTCTCGATCTCTTCGTTGAGCTCTTGTCTCCGCGGCACATACTGGGTGGATGTGAGATGACCATGATCGGTCTGGATTGTCTGCAGCTCGGACACCTGTAATGTTTCCCAAAATAAGATCATATAAAGGGTTAGGCATACATATTGCTTCAACCTTGCCTGTGAAGTAAGGAGTGTCAACCTCTACAATAGCGATGGGTGTTCTTCTCAAGCTACGATCAATGAGTATACATGTGACTTCTCTAACCGTCAATTCACTTGGTTTGACAAGCCCTTGCTTGACGACTACTCCACTGCAACCACTATCTCTGAGGACAGAAACTTCCTGTTTTCCTACAAAGCCTTTCAAAACTGGCATCTGTTTCAGGCCTACAAAGTTAATATTGCTACATGCTGCACTGAGAATTGGAAATGAATATTTATTTATGTAAGGGGCTTCTGCATTAATCTGGGTATGGGAGTATTGACGTGATCTGTTCAAACCTACCTCAGAATCATGAGGGAACCAATCTTGTCCGTGTGGTACTGTAACATCTGTATCATCTGTTGTCATCAGTCCTGCTGTTTTGGGAGCATTGTATGGGCAATTGTTTGCATAGTGACCAGATTTATGGCAGAGGTAACACGACCTTGACTTAGGAACCGAAGGCGATGGACAATTTCTAGCGAGATGACCTGTTTGGTGACAGTTGAAACAAGTCTTGGGATAAGGATTACCAGGAGGTATATTATGTTGGGAGGGAGGCTTACCCTCACTTCTCTTCGTGTCTTCAGTTTGTGTCGGGTTGTGTCTCTGAGGGACAGGTGTCTTGAAGTATCCTCCTCTTGCGTCTAAGTATTGGTCCACCAGTCTCGCTGTCTGTTTCATAGCGGTCGGTTGACGTTCCTTAAGGAATATAACAAGTTCCCGATGACAGCCTTCAATGTACTGCCCTCGAAGAATGAGATCCTTTAGCTCCTCGAACGTCTTCTCGATGCCTGCAAGTTCAATCCATCTGTCTAGGTAATTCTCCATGCGGGTGGCGTATTGGTGCCCAGTTTCTCCGGCCTTGGGTTTTCCTGTAACAAACTTGGATCTAAAACCATCCTCTGTTAAATGAAACCTTTTTAAAAGGGCATTTTTCAATATCTGGAAGTTATTCCCATCATCAATAGACAACTGGGCATAAACCTCCAATGCACTACCTGTAAGCAAAGCACTCAAGTTTATGGCCCATTCAGTATCTGGCCACTTCTGAATCTTGGCATATCGTTCATATCTTTGTAAGTATGCATCAATATCATCCTTCTCTTGATTGAAGAGAGGCAATTTTGGCGCTCTTGCTTTAGCGCTTCCATTCTCTACAAAACTAGCTTCGCCGCCATTGTGCTCGCGAGATGCGCGCTTTTCCCGCTCGATCTCAAGCTGTATTTCGGCTAACTCTTTTTCACTTTTCTTCAATTCTAGCTGCTCAACTCTCTCATCTCTTGCTCTATTCTGCTCAGATTTCACAAACAATTTTAACTCATCACCGCCCAATCCAAACTTTTCACCTGCTTCAATAAGTTTCCCCAACTCCATGTTCACTGTGTGAAATCTACAATTTGCAGGGACACAACTCGTAACAAAATTAATTACTACCAAAGCTAACACAATTTTTTTTCAATAATTTCAATTCCTTTCCTTGAACTATGTTTTTTTAATTGTTTTTCCATGTGACTGTAAATGGCATGCTCTATCCCACTTCTGACACCAAAATGTCACATGGTACACTCAAAATAAAGAAGCCTAAACACATGCCATTTACGATACTCGTAATTATAATGAAGCTTTATTATAAAGCAAAGAATAGTACCATTCTCCGACAAAAAGAGAATGGTACGAACGAAAATATATATCCTCTTACAATCTCTTTCCAAAAACACTTGGTCCCATCAAAATAAAATCAACCTTGTCAAACAAATATATGATCAACACCTTTGTAACATGTATCAAATCTTTCTATAATTTGTAATACATGAATTATACACCAATAATGTTTATATATAAACAGACCTGAATTGTCTAAATATAAATAACACATCTGTAGCTTAAACAATTAACTCATACACATCGCGTTCTTGAGATATTTTACCTTAACATCAATAAACAGACCAGTATATTGTCGTTTATTTAGTTATCAACTTTAACAAATTATACCTTCACAAATATCATGATCCCTTCTCAAAATAATCAACAACTGACTTCTCGTCACGTGAACGGTTAACTCCAGACCTGTATTGTCCGCTAACTTCACCCTTGATTACATCTTTCAAAATAGTCTTTATACAATGCACGTATCAACAATACACACTCAAACACGAAATAGTCCAATTGGCTCTGCTAAGCCTATGACATCTTTTTAGATGTGACTTTCAAGTTCAACGAACTATTTATCTCAAGTTCCATAATAGTCTCGTCAACATAATCGGCACCATTATCGCTCACCATAATGTTCATATTGCGTTCTCTACTGAAGACGCCATGTTCTTGGATCTGTCGGTCACGTGTCCGAATGTCCCGTCTCGCATCAACTCTCGTAGTCGTAGAAATCTCAGCTTGTCTCCCAAGCCCCTGTGCCATCGATGGAAAGTATCGGTTCTACTTAAAGCTGCAAATTCTCATGTAGCAAAACTTATAAAGCCAGAAGCCACATCTTTCTCAACTTGTCTTCTATAATGTGTGTACAAGCAGTTAACTATAATGCTTTGAAGCAAGCTGCTACGTACATCAAGACCTCCGTACACCAAGCCAACTTCTTTGGGTGTGGCCCTAGCCAGTATCACTCCAGTACATTATATACAGTCAACTACAAAAAAAAACACTTCCCGTCTATAACAGGTGTAATGCCATTCCACTTTCCTTTCAATGGTAGTCTCAACCTTTTCAGATAGTAACCCGTGACAACACATTCAATGCTTCACGGAACACTGTATAATTTCTACACTAATTACATCCACCGATGGCACATTCACACTCGCTCGCTCTTCCTCTCTCTCTCTCTCCCTCTCTCTCTCTCTCTCTCTCTCTCCCTCTCTCTCCCTCTCCCTCTCTCTCTCTCCACCCCTCTCTGTCACAAGTACACGCTATAATTCGCTTTATTTAGTTCCTAGTTTAATGAAAGAAAAAAGGATATTTTGATAAAATCGTTGATTGCGTTTTCCAACGTGACAGTGGGTGATTCAAAATATCACTTCAAATTTATTACATTTGTGGGTAAAGTCATTATTACATTTGTGGGTGATTAAAAATTATTACATTTGTGGGTAAAGTGGTTATTACATTTGTGGGTGAAATTATTAAATTTGTGGGTAAAGTGTTATTACATTTGTGGGTGTTGTTACATTTGTGGGTAAAGTGTTATTACATTTGTGGGCGTTATTACATTTGTGGGCATTATTACATTTGAGGGTGTAACAGGGGCGGGCCCCCGGCTCCCCCTTGGGTCCGCCACTCAGAGGCGGCGGAGCGACTTCCAAAGTGGGGGGGGGGGGGGCACCAACAAAAAGGGGCACTTTGTGGAAAAAAGGGCACCTTCAAAGGGAAATCTCAAAGCGAGAATATACAATTTTTAGACATTGGTATATACCCTATAATTTGATTACATTATCAGGGATGATTTCAATATTTTTTTCTCTTTATACATCGTATAAAATATTGCTTTAGCATCATACCTTGCAGTTGAGTGTGATGGTCGAAAAAATCATTTGCGAGCGAGCAAAGCGAGCGAGGAAAAAAACAAGATTTGTGAGGTCGCAGTGCGGAAACTACATCTTATAAAGAGGAAAAAACCAATCCTCATCGGGTTATAAATAAGCACATTCTCATAACAGTAAAACTGAAAAGACCTTTAATAAGTAACATAATTATAACATCTATAAATGTGAGCGAGCGTCGCGAGTGAGCTTTGGGAGATATTGCTCTTAGTCGCTTGAAATTAGGGGCACGTTTAATGATGAGAGGAAAAGGGGACACTTATCGAAGGGATAAGACACTTTTTAGAAAATAAAAGGAGCACGTGTCAAAGTACACAGGGTTATTATCAGAGGTGAAAATGGGGCACTTACTAGGGATGAAAAGGCACTTATGAGAATGGAAATTGGGCATTTGTCGACGGAAAAGAGGCAACCATCAGATTTTGATAGGGGCATTTCTGAAAAAGGGAAAGGTTCCTCATAAGAAAAAAAAGGGGCACGTATCATTGTTAAAAAGGTTAACTTTATCAGAGGTGAAAAGGGGCACACACCATATATGAAAGAGGCACTTATGAGAATGAAAAAGGGGCACTAATAATAAAGGGAAATGTGCATTTGTTGAAAGAAAAGGAGCACCGATCAGATTTTGATAGGGGCATTTATTGGAGGTGAAAGGGGGCTTTTATGAAAAGCGGATATTATGAAGGAAAAAGAGCATTTATTAGGAAGGAAAAGGGGCATTTATGAAAAGGCGAACGGCTCTTTGTTAAATAGGGGCACTTATCATAAGGAAAAGGGGCACTTATTAGAAAGGAAAGGGGGCCACATGTGATAATGTAAGGTGTGCTTATCCGAGTTAAAAAGAGGTAGTTATTAAAAGTGAAAGGGGCACTTCTTACAAAGGAAAAAGGGCAACTGTCAAATTAAAAGGGGCACCTCTAAGATTTGAATAGGGCAATTGTCAGAGGTGAAGGAGGCGCTTAACAAAAGTGAAAAGGGGCGCTTCTCGTACCCGAAAAGGGGCACCTACTAGAGATTAAAAAGGGCACTTATGAGAATGGAAAATAGACACTTATTGCAAAGGAAACTGGGAACTTGTCAGGGAAAAGAGGTACGTGTCAAAATAAAAGGGGCACATTTCAGAGGTGGAAAGGGGAGGGGGCACTTTTACAAATTAATAGGGGCACATATCAAAGTAATAGGGGCAATTTTATATAAAAAGGGGCGCTTCTCACAAATTTTAAGGGGCACTTTTCCTATGGAAAAAGGGGCACTTTTTGGGTACTTGAAAAAGTGGGGGGGGGCACTGTGCCCCCCTGCCCCCCCGGCTCCGCCGCCTCTGCCGCCACTGATGTACGTATTACGTTTAATGTTAATATAAGGAATTCGTAACGTTAGTCACTGTCTATCCGTCTATATGTTCAGTGCATGCTTCTGTCCAATATGATTTGTTCAGCGTAAATTGTGTAAAACAGTTTCTTTTGATCATCTCCATGTCATGTAATATATGTCGATGTGGTCACTTTCCTTCATCCAGACTGCTGCATTTATCTTTGACCCTACCCCCAAAGGGTTCAAGATATGAGTAATACAAATACCAAAATGAAATTACTGCATGACATAGAATCTGCAAGTCCCACTGGCAAGAAATTATTTCATAAACTGATCCAAGAACAAAAGTTTTCATCAGGCTCTCTATCTTCAGTTTAATAAATTACTTTAGGGTCAATCTTACAGTGGTCATCTTGATCACAAAGGATGGGAAACCTACTGCTGGGAACTTTCAACGTCTAAAATTGGTCCTTCAGATTCAGTTAGGATGGACAGAGAGGTGGCTGACAATGACAATTCTACAGAGCACTCAAACATCACTTTGTCTTTAAAAGATATGACCCAAGCCTTATCACATCTGAAACCAGGGAAAGCAAGCGGCGATGATAATATGTGCGTTAGTAACTTAAAAGCATAATTAATGTACAAAAAGACAGCGTGATAGAGTACAGGAGAGTAGAGGAGCACCATAGCATCCTTATTATTCTACATGTGTGTTGTATAATGTTTTTCTTGAATTATTTCAATCAATACTCCCTGACTTTTTCAGTTCAGCTTTCAGTTCAGTTCAGTTTATTGATTTTTCTCAAGCATAACAACAATATTATAATATATACAAAAAATGGCAAATATACATAGTAAGAGAAAAAAGAGAAAAAGTTTATAAAAACTTGTATGGCGTAGTTTCCAGTAAAGGGGAAAAAATACATGGTATAAACAATTGCAATAACAAAATAAAAAATTATGCAGATTTATAAGTAAACGCATTATGCAGATTTATAAGGTACGCAAACTTGAACTAAGCCTTTACTCATTTATTTATTTATCTAGTGATCTTGGTATAATTTGATTTGTCAAAATAAACACATTTTATTGTTTTCTACACCAACCTATACCAAATTCGTAACATCATCGGCTTAGCAGTACAAAATCGGCCTATAGGTTAGGGTATAGATATGTTACATAGCTTGAATGTCGTTGATATCTTATTTTAGAGTATGCCAAAGCCTAAAAAACTTTCATAGAATTTATTAATAAGTACACATATCTGGAATGTTATGTATCGGGGACGGACGAATCTAATCTGATCATTTGAAGTGTCAACAACTGAAGTATTGAAATACGGACCCGTGCGTTATTCACCAGCGAGGAATGTTTGTATCAAAGCGAAACGAAGTAATACCCAAATTTCGACATGCTTACACTTCAAATAGTTTTCCATTGTAGTTTTACTCTAAAGAATCTATTCGACAAACATGTTTTTGAACTTCTAAGCACACACGCTCCTAAGTTCACAATCAGTGATCATATTTTTTTTCTCAATATAAAATCTACCAGCGTGAACACCATTACAAAGGATTTGAATCACGGTACGTTTCCTTCCAGAACGTTCCTTTAATTTGTGTGTTTTTTCTTTTACCATAGTTACAAGCCCTGCCGTATAAATTGTTTTATTCACCTACGATACTGTGATATGCAGAGTGTGCCAGTCCGTATATAATGGGGATCGGACCTAGATTTGTGTGGTTTCCAGGCAAAGTCACTCTTTGTCTCTCTCTTTCTCTCTTTGTGTTAAACAATTTAGGGTCTATGAGTAAACCCATATCGTTTACATACTATAAACTAAGAAGAGGAATACAAACACACTACACACGCAAAAAACTGAGGTGCTAAATGTTGGGTGCTGAGTGAGATTCTGCACTTGAAGTGCCAAAATCAGCACTTGACGGGTTAACTTTAACAAGGAAACCGAAACGTGC